CTCTGTCTGGCGAGTGTACGTGCCCTATAGCGAAAACCTCTCAAAAAAAAAAAAAAATGTTAGAGAAGAGTCTCTCCCAATTCAAACAAACAAACAAACAAACAAACTCAAAGCTGCTGCTGACTCCCCAGCACCCCTGGTCCCCAAGTGCTCTCTGTCCTTCTCCAAGCTCCTGGAAAGGGCCTGATCTCACATTCTGCAATGTGGTTTTTGCTGCTGCCACTCTCCAGAAATGGCCTGTGAAAGGTCTCCAAAGACCTTCTAATACAGAAAATAAAATCCACACGCACTCAAGGCTTAGAGAAGCTCTTCCCTCACTCCCACAGATAGAAGGAGGGTTTCCCCTAAGCTTAACTGGGCAACCTACTGTGCACACACGTCGTTCCAAGTTGAAACGTCTAACGCTTCAAAGTGACTTCCATTTCCAGAACCACAACCATGTTCAACACACTGATAGAAAAATTAATATTCACTTCTCTTTACCTCTGCCGACAGGTCAAAATTAAACTCTCAGCCATGGTCAGGAAATTACATATTTTGGACAGAGAAATGTCCAGCATCGATAGGCTCCAAGTCCTTTTCCTCACTCCCCACCTCTCCTCTCTCACTGCTAGCTGCTTCCACATCACTCACTCTGATGAGACTGCTCAGTCATGTGACCACTTAGACCTTCTCAGCTGTTTTTTCTTTCTTGTCTTCTCAGAGTATTGAACACTGTGAAACACTCCCTTCTGAAAATATCACCCTGTAATTCTGCATTCTCCTGGCTCTCTCCCACCTCTTGGGCTATTCTTTCTCAATGGGCATTGTAGTTCCCTCTAGTCCTCCAAGAAGAAAGTCCCTTGACTTCTAAAAGAGAGGGCAGGGCACCTGCCTACCCGCTCCTTAGGACTCTGCACTCACTCGATTGCAGCGCTCACCACACTGTTGCAATTGCCCCTGCTCCTCTGTATTACACAGGTAAGAGGGCAGGGACTGTCAGTGGCACTGCTGAATGAACGAACAAATGAACAAAGATTTCGCTCAAAATGAAAGCTGGAACCGAACTGTTTTGATACTATCTCTGGTCTTGCTAATCAACGTATGTTCCTTAGAACAATAGAAGATATCACCTGGAAGCTTGTTAGAATGCAGACTCTGAGGTCTCATGCCAAATGCTTACTGAACCTGTGCTTGCTGGAGAGAAACAGAAAGAGAAGTGAGAAATCACCTCCCAGAAGGGCTGGCCATGCTGCAATCCCTTCCCTCTATTCTCCTCTCAGAATTTTGGGCATACCCACCCCGCATATCTGTCAAGCTACTGGGTCTGACACTCAAACCACGGGGTCAGCAATATACCTTAACCAACATGCCACTTGTTGAGCTTCAAAATATGCATTTTATCAAGATCTCCAGGAAATTCACATACATATTAAACTTTAGAAAAACTGCCCTATGGTGGTGTTAAAGCAACTCTGAACAGAGTCAAAAGAGGGTTATAGTTCCAACTTGATGACTGATACTAAAAAATCAAATAAAAGTAGCTATGTCTTGGGCCAGCTCTATAGCCTGGTAGTTTAGAGAGCCAGATCCCACATAGCCAACTGTGGTTTGAATTCTGGCCCTAGTGACTTGAAAAATACACCGGGTGTATGTGTGTGCATGCCCCAAATCCCAATAGGATGGAGAAATGAAGGAAGAATAACAGCATGACCACGCCCCTTTAGGGAGCGCTTTCTCCCTCTCCCTCTCCCTGTCTCTCTCTGTTGTTCTGAAGAGTGCACATGCCTCTGGCAATTTCTTAAAAATAGCTTTGTTTTACTGAGTGACTATATGCCAGGAACTGTGCCAAAGATGTCATAAATCACATACAACTCGTAACTTATGGAGTCGAATAGCTAGAAAGTTCTTGCTTTTGTTGAAATTAAATCCACTCTGACAAACCAGGTTTTACTCTATTACTATTAACAGAATATTCAACAGCACCGCTCATCTCCGAGCACTATTTCTGTGCTCCAGAGTCACATGTAGTCTGTTTTTGGTTCAACGTAACAGCCCTACAAATAGTTTTAATACAATTATATCCCATAATCTGTTTTCTTTCCATGTCAAAAAAAAAATCTTAGTTTTCTAACCATTCCCAATAATGACAACAAGTAAATAATAATAATCCTTTTTAAGCACTTGCAATGTGCAGGAGCTGTGCCCAGAAAGCAAGAATCACCCCCCAGGGGGGATGACCACACCGCAATCCCTTCTCCTCCATTGTTCTCTCGGGATTTGGGGCATGTATACACATGCACCTGGTGTGAGTTTAAGTTATTGGGTCCAGGACTCAAAACACAGTCAACTACATGGGAGTCCAGTGACATAGCCATTACGCCAACTGCTGGTCCCCACATAAGCTATCTGAAAGAGGGTAGCTCAGTGTGTGGCATATGCATAGCTCATGGTTTTCCATGCACCACCCTGGCTGCACTCTGCTGAAATATCTTCTGCATGGAGATTCTCAACCAGAGTGTCCTATAATGCATAGATTAATAACCAACAACAAAAAAAAAATTAAAAAAAAATAATAGGGCAACCTCATTAGAGATTTTTTTCAATGCACATTAAAACAACAGGATATCTGTTTCCGGTTGTTTGTTCAGTCGTTTCTCTGTGAACTGTCAGCATGCAGGGAACAAGTACCATCGCACCCAGCTGGAGAGGTTTCGCCAGGGCAACCACCTTGAAAAGAAACCTGATACATCCTCTCAGGGCCGTCAAACTGACTTAAACCCTTTTCAAATTAAGAGTTGTTAGAGGATGGCACATGAAAATAAATGTTATGCCTATTGCAAATCTGTATCAGTCCTTTGAACTGGTGATTACATATCTGGGAATATAACTTAAGGGGGGAAACCTAAACATCAAAAAGGACTTCTGTCCAAAGACATTTGTCACATGATCTAAAACAAGTCTCTAGAAGCAATCTACATGTCGGACAATAGTGAGGTGGTTACTCTTCAGCATATTTTAAGATGGAATAAGATGCCATGATATAATGACAGGTGGAAAAAGCAGCGTATAAAACTGTATTACAGTACAGGTATGAACGTGCACAGGTTCAATACACAGATATAAAAGAACGATCCTGAAACATTAGTTCCTTCTTGCATGAGAGAGAGGGGGAGACAAGTACCCTCAACAGGGTCTCACACCATGACCCAGCCCTTCCAGCCTCTCAGACAGCCAAAATCACAGGCATGCAAACATGCACACCTTAGCATGTACGAGTCAATCCAGGAACCAAACCCTAGTCTTGCATACAGCTTCCAGCACTGCAGTGTTAAACTACAACTGAGCCACCGTAGCTGGGTCCACTGTGCCTCTTTTATAAAGAGAGATAGGATTAGGGGTGATTTATTTTCTCTGTTTCAAAATGTTAGGGTTAAACATTAGAGACAAAATACTGAATTTTAAAAACACAAAATCTCGCTTCTCTCCCTCTTCTTTTCCTATTTATATGTTCCTAGAGAGCTGGGATTGTGCCCAGGCCCCACTCTGCAAGGCCTGCTGCTTCAAAAATGCTGTGGACAATATAACCATTTCTGGTTTGTTTCTGTCCATTCCTCATTGAAGAAGAAGCACACAAGCTCCCAGAAAACAGCAGGCTCTCTTCTTTGTCATCCCACCCTCACCCTAGCTCCCTCTCCTCCCTTAGACACATCATTCTGTCCGTGCAGATCTTCCCAGCCCATTCTGGGGGAGGATGGGGAACTGTGCTATAAAGGACAGCCTATTCATAGGGAACATCAAGTCGAAGTGCAATCTGACAAGTGACTCAAACCTGAATCGGCTGGTCTTAAGATCTTAGAGTGGGAAGAGGAAGCCTCTGTTCTCCAAAGGACATAATGGGATATTTAGCAGATTTTTTTTTCCAAAGGGCAAATGAACAAACAAAACTGCCATTTACAACTCAAATGAAGTAGGTGAAGAATGAGCTGTTTATTAAAAATGCTGCCTCGGAGGAAGCAAACCAAGAGACTTGTTTCTCCCTAAATGGATTGTAGATATTCTTGGTTTTCAAAATTATCTAGAGCCCTAGAGGCTAAGATCGATAATAGCCCTTCTCTCAAAGAGCGCAGATGGCCTGAGCACAGCATAAATACCTCTGAGCATTCCCATTTTGAAGGAAGGGGGAAAGGGCCTAAGGCTGACAAATCTTTCCCCAGAAACGGTGTGGCAGTGAGTGTGAGACCACCATCAGCATGGTGCTCCAGGCTCAGTTCAAGACAGCCCCAACCAAGAAGACTCCAGTTTTGTACTTGAGGGACCCAAGCACAAAAAGGCTCTCCTGTGCTTCCTATTTGCTCATTCTCACTGTCACAACATCAGGGTCCTCCCACTGAGCAGCTCAGGTGACAGAGAAATCGCAGACAGCACATCACAAAGATCAGTGCTGGGACCAAAAGTCCTCAAGGTGAATAAAGGTTCCTCCCTCTAGCGGGGTACGTGTACATCTGATTTTCAATGTTAATAGAATCATTAAGGCTGCATCTACACTACCCAGATTATCTGGGTGATGTGGCAACTCTCCAGATCCCTCTGAGACCACACTGCTCCTCCAGATGTGCCGTCTGCAACACAGATCCCAGGGCTGGACCAGAGTCAAAGCATCACAGCTTATCTAAATGTGCTCATAGCCACATGACTCAAACCTCATGAAGCCTTTGGACAGACCCGCTGACCTGACAGGGCCATCATAACCTCACCCACAGCAAAGGGAGCTCAAGCTGGAGACCACCCCAGGACAGATGCAGTCTTAAGAAGCTTTGGGGGTCATTAGGTTTTTGTAAGAAACACACGACAAAAATATGTTCCTCTTACCTCTGTTTGTTCTGTTGACTCGAGTCTGCCATTTCCCTGGATACCCATGCAGGAGAGATCAAAAATGGTTTTCTTCAGGTGCTGGTTGTCCGAATACAGTTCCTTTACTAGTTGGATAAGGTCGCTGACCTGCAAGAGAAGAGCAGGGAGAGGACTGGCTCCCAGCAGCAGACTTCAGCTTCCGCAGTCACATGGCAGGACACGGTCCCTCCCACTGAGCAGGCCCTTCAGCATCAGCGCCTTGGAGAATCAGCCTGCCTGACTCTAGACTTCAGGCCACCCTGGGTACAGTGACAGAGACACTGGCTTTAACATTTGGTGGGCCAGTATTCTAATGCCAGAGCCACCACTTTAAGGCAGAGAGAACCCAAGCAGGCTCCTCATCTGGAGAATAGGTTACTGTGAGAACATGACTGTCACCGCACTGCACTGACATCCTTGGCACAGTCTCAGTGCTAACACTATCTCTGTCTTGTATCTGAGACTCCCTGCAGGAAAAGACCCGAAGGTTGAAGTTTCTTAGACTGTGTCAGGGCTTTATTTACAGCATCTGAGTTCTCCTTTGTACACATATCTAGCAATCAGTGGCAATGACAGTAGACAATCACAAAGCAATTTATGGCTCCTAAACTACTATAAGGTTTAGTCAAAAAATTCTTGAGGAAGTATATAGTGCCTATCCCCATTTTACAATGAGGAACCAGAGATCTAAAAGTTAATTAACTGAGGTCCCATAGCTGAGGACACCTGGAGACTAAATGAGATGTTAACAGTGGCCAAAGCACCTAGTCAGGTAGGAAGGAGAAGCTGCCTCCACGGAAGCAGAGCCAGGGCCAGAACTGAGATTCCCCAAGCTCCCAGTCCAGGGCTGCTCCTTAAGGCATAGGTCTTGCTAGGTCAGGTATCTAAGCAATTGAGCAGACACCACCCCTGGGTCCTGCAAGCTTCAATCCCAATGGCTAGTCATTTTCCAAAGAATTCTTAATGGAGAGGATCATTACCTCTTCAGATAGAGTGGAAAATCTTCCCTTGACTGTACATAGTAGCTGTTCAATACAACAAAACTGGATCCAAACCTCAAGCAAGTTCTAGTGGGAAGGACAGACATCCCAATACCACAAACGTTTACAAAGTATCATGCAAGTGAACTCCCTTCTGCCCTACCACAACACAGCAGGTACCAGTGGCAGCCAGTGCCACTTCATTTTATCTTCAAACACTAGCAGCTGTCTCAAGGATCCTTGCTTCACTCCTCCCAAAATGTCCCAATTCTTAGTTATCCTTGCTATTTCTTATTTCTGGATCTTATGCAGGCTGCTTTCTCTCTCTGACTCTTCTCTCTCTCTCTCTCTCTCTCTCTCTCTCTCTCTGTCTCTCTCTCTCTCTCTCTCTCTCTCTCTCTCTCTGTTGATCTCTCCCTCTTTGACAAAGCCTCCCAACAGAACAAACTCCTATTGATCCTTCAAAACCCACTTCAAGTCTCACTTTTGCTGAGAGGCTTCCCCTGATCAAGTGAACATCTCCCAATCCTTGCCAATGAACCACTCCCTCTCTGCCACCTCTACACCTTGTTCAGCTGCCTAACACAGCAAACCTTACACTCCATATTGCAATCACTCGTGTAATGCCTGTGTCTTCTACCAGAATGTGAATTATCCGAAGACAGAAACTACATCTGCGTCACACGTGTGTGATGATGTTCTGATAAATCACATAGCCTCCTCTGTGCCAGTCCTTCCTATTCTTTTTTTAAAGAATTATTTTATTTAACTTTATTATTATTATCATTATTATTTTCCAGTTTGACCAGAGAGAGACAGAGAGAGAGGAAGTAAGACAGCAAGCCACCAGGTCCGAGACTTGAACCATGGTCAGCCATGTGGGAGTCCAGCGCTTTTAACCACCATGTCGCTTGCCAGCCCCAGCTCTTCCTATTCTTAACAATGGTTCTTTGAAGAACTACCAACCAGTCTAATCACATCACTGATCAACAGATTGAAACACCTTTCCAGTTTAAAAAAATTTACTGATCAAACCTGGAACTTTATATGTTCGAAAAGTGTCTCTGTTCCTACTAAGTGTGCTAGATACTAGAAAATCAGGAAGGAGTAAGGCCTGATCACGGCATTTTGGGTGTTCACAGCCTAGCAGGGAATGCAGATGAAGAACCGGGTAATTACAGCGCAGTGTGAGAAGGATATCGATTCAGATTAGGTCAACGAGAAGTTGGCTAACTACACAGAAGGGCTGGAGAGCTTTTCTTCCCAGAGCTCAAGCCTAGGTTAGGCTCTCGAGTTGGACGAGGAGTGCATCTGAGGGGGCACTTCAGGCGAGGAACACAGAGAAGCAAAGACGAGGCAGAGAGGAGAAGGAAGCAGGAAAGGAAAGGGGCTTTCAGAATCTTACACCTGATCAGGAACCCAAGAGACAACAAATGACCTTTAAACACACACGCAGACACACACACACACACACAGTTAATAGGTCAATACCTTTTTCTTAAGTTCTTCTTGAGAAAAATGTTCCACTTGAACCTGATTACGCTCTTCAAGGCATATACTTAGATAAGATGTTTGATCGCTATAAAACGAAAATGGTTCTTCTGCCCAAAAAAAAAAGGGGTGGGGGGATGAGAATATCAGAAACAGATCCTTCTGAGACAGAACCCAGTACAATCCATACAAAGCAATGTGAGTTAAAGGGTGGGGAAGGAGCGTAAGTCCACACAGGGAGGGTGAAACAGCCTCTTTGGAGCAAAAGTAATTTTCCCTTTCTCTACAGGCTGCTATTTCAATGTACGGTCTCATCTCAGGCTGTAGGTTTTCAGTGTGACCAATTCTGAATTACAATTTGCATACCAAGTGTGGTGCCTGGAGACCACTCTGAATGGCACAAGCAAACGGTGATTTCAGTTTAAATGAGGGAGTGATTCTGTTTAGGTGAGAATACAGGAAAATTAGATGTGACCCTCAAGGGCAGAACTCATGGGAAATAAAAGTGCTGCCATATTTTTCACTGGATGCCGAGCCCTCGTGGGAAGTGAGCACACTAAGTGCAGAAACTGCCCGCGAGAGCAAAGATAAAAGCAAATTCAGTTATCACGTAAGGGTCTGCTTCCCTTGCAGCAAAGTCGCGTTGTCATAGGGAGGGGAGGAGTGGGGGAGGGGGAGGATGGTGACTGGGTGAGGCATATCCAACAAACAGTATCTCATTTAACACAGGCAGGTAGGAGCTAACACACTTAAAATACAGTGCAGGGTACTCCACAGAGTGACTCTTCAAAGAAGATACCCTGGCTCGAAATCTGAGCATATCAAGCCCTTCCCCACCTCCCCACGCTCCGGATGAGCCTCAGTTTCTTCACCTGTAAATTAAGTTATAGGATGACTCTGCCTCATGGAATTACTGTGAGGATCAGAGATGAAAAGCAAGTGCCTAGCACCATGCCTTGTACAACAGCAGGTGCTCAAGAAATGCGGAACCTATCACTGCTATTACCAATTTTACCACGTGTGCCAGGCACCAGACTAGAGATATAGGAAGGAATAAGACATCAACCCAGTCTTTGAGGGCTCAGGTTCTAGCAAAGGAGAGAGCCAAATGTGACCCTGAGAGCTCAGCAATGCAAGTCCCATGGGAACTCATCTTGTAGTCCTCCCCAAATGTACCTAAGATGCTAAAAACCACATTTCAGCATGAAACAGCGGTCTCCCCCCACGTATGTGTTGCAGGCCAGGGTTCCCTGCAGGAGGTGCTGTAACTGGCAGAGCCCAGACGTTTTGGGCAATGAGGATTGCTTACCAGAGAAAGCGGACTGCAAGGTTAGCTGCAGCTAACAGTATCAAGTGATACAGAAGACAGTAGAGGCAGCAAGGACGCAATCCTGTGAAAGACCCTGTGCAGAATTAATGCAACTGACTGGGTCCTTCCATTATGAAGGCAGAAGTCATGTGGATTCAAACTAAGAGAGCCAGGATCGACAAGGTCACCACAAGAAGGATCCTTCGATAAAATCCTGTGGGTGCTTTACCTCTTAAAGAACTTTTTGAACTTTTAAAGTTCCACCAAGGCCCCTGAAGTGGAAAAACTGAAGGGAAATTCATACAGGAGAGAGTGTACCTTCCCGCCGCCGAATTTCATTGATCTGCTCCTCCAGGGTCTTCTGCAAATTCCGGTATGAGAGCACATCACGCTCCAGCTGTTTCCGCAGGGCCAGAATGCTGTTCAACTCGGCCTGCAGGCTGTTGGTACTTGGTAAAACAAGACAACAGAGAGTTTAAAACAGATCTGCTTGTGCTTTAAGATGCAAAGCCCAGCAAGCCTTCCTGTGGTTCTTAATGTCCTTTACGTTTTTTGCTTCTTCTCTGATTATAAAAGTAAATACAGATATTTTTTGGAGAGTTGTTTTTGTGTGTGTGTGTGTGTGTTTTTGCTATAGGGCACGTGCGCTCACCAGACAGACTGAGAGAGACAGAGATAGAAAGCAAGAAATCACCCCCCAGGAGGGATGGTCACGCCGCAATCCCTTCTCCTCCATTCTCCTCTCGGGATCTTGGACGGGCACGCACACGCGCCCGGTGTGAGTTCTAAGCCACCAGGTCCGGGATGTGAACCGCGGTCGATTATGTGGGAGTTCAGCGACATAGCCATTACGCCAACTGCTGGGTCCCTCCTCTCGGGATCTTGAGCACGCACACACATGCACCCAGCATGAGTTTTAAGCCACCAGGTCCGGGACACGAACTGCGGTCGACTACATGGGAGTCCAGCGACATAGCCATTATGCTAACTGCTGGCCCCAAGACATTTTGAAATATGAAAGGATAAAGAAAACAAAACTTGCCATGGGCCCACTACCAATTCACAGATGGCAGACTGGGTTCCCTCCCAATCTTTTTCACTCTGAGCATCTTTCCAAGGTTGAAGCAATGCTGGACACAGAATGCTGAACTGTGTATTCCTCACTTAAATATTTCCCCACATCTCTGGAAATTATTTGTGAGCATCATTGTTAATGACTACATAATATTAAATTAGGTGAATGTCGCACTAAGTTCACTGTAACTCATCTCCTATTAGTGAGCATCATTTCCAAGGTTTTGCTACAAACATAAGTATGTGGAAATACTTTACTTATCCAGGGTGTTTCTGCCTTGAGAGGGCTTGGGCACGGAAGGGGCGGCTCTCTTAAACCTGTGTCACTTGGCACCCAGGCTTCAGAGGACAGACAGACAAAGAACTTCCATTATCTTTACTCCTCAAAGAGGACATATTGGGGTTAAGGGTGAAGGAAAAGAGGGAAGAGGAAAAAATGAAGGACAGTGAGTCAACCAAAAAAAGGTACTATTCGGGGCCAACAGAATTCCACTGCGGTGGGGTAACCACCCAAAACGGCGTAATATGAATGGATTTTCATGTGGGGCATGGGGTGTCAAGCTCCACATCCAGATCAATGTGATACACTGTGCTGTGCTGTACGGAGAGCTTTCGTGAAACCCGGAGCCCAAAACCTACAGGAGGCCACGAACACTCACACCTCCTGGAGTCTGCATTAATCCTGGTGAGTCCTGTCCCACAGAATTTTCTCTGATGGTGGGAATGTTCTTTCTACACTGCTACAGTGGCCACTAGCTTAGTGTGCCTACTGAGTGAGTATCTGAAACGTGGCTAACATACCAAGGGATGCCATGTTTCTTTCATTAAATTTAAATTAAGTTTACACTGAAATAGCCACCTTGCTGGTGGTTACCACATGGGTTGGGCCGACTCACAAGAACGGCTTTAGACGCCTACTGACCTGCAACCGGCAGAGAGCTGAACCCCTTACATCCAGTTCTTGGACGAACATGGAGGCCCCAGCTGATGTCTGAATAGCATAAATAATATTTCACTGTACATCTCCACGCCTAAAGCCTTGTTTGACATTCAGGTTATTTTCTTAAGAAGGATTCCCAGCAGTGCAATTACTGGGTCAAAGTATATGAATGTTTTTAAGACTACCGAAACACATTAACAAATCAGAAAGCCTCCCTTTTTAAACACAGAGAAATAAATCATTCTCTGTCCAGTGTCAAACCTATCGGTTTCCTAAAAGAGTCAATCACCACCTGGAAATTATCTGTAGAAATTGGTAAATATGTGAATTTTTCAAGGGAGAAGGCCCATAAGCTTGCCTCGGATATTTCAAAAACGGTCCATGGTCACAAAATGGTTAGGAGCTGCTGCTCTAAATATGTGTGTCACAGACTCAATCCCCATTTCTCCTTCAGAGATTTCGTCTAGCTCCATCTATTGAACTGCACATATAAATCAACATATAGTGGAAGGAAAATAAACCGTTATGTCTAATCTTCTTTGCTAGCTGCTTTGACGAAGGTTCACTGTGAAGCAGTCTTTGTGCAAGGGAAGGGGCCCTGCTTGCAACTTGTACCTAGCTCCGCTTCAAGACGATCATAATGATCAATTTGGGAGCTTGATGGAAAACCTTACAGAGGTGTCACAGCACAGCACTCGCGTGGATGTGGTTGTGCGGCAGAGACATTTAACCAGGAAAAAAAGGAGAGTGTTTTAGCAAAGCTTCTGCGATGAGGGCTGGAGAAAGCTAACTGCTTCACTCCCTCTTCCACTTTGTGACAGGGTGAAAAGTACACAGCTGCTACTCCTGTGTCTGTCATTTATGTTTTCCCAACTCCAGAACCTTTTCGAGGTGTGACAAGTCAGTAGAACAAATGGTGCTTCACGCAGAAAGAAACAAAAGCCCTGCACATTCCTCTTTCTAGAACAGGGGGTGAGAGAAGAAGCAAAAATGTGGACACAGAGAGACCCCAGCTCAGGATAGCACACCACCACCACTAGGACATGACCTGGGCGTGGCTAGTCACGCAGACTGCCTCATCCGTAAGAGGGTATAGCAATAGCTTCCTTAGTGATGGTTTTTCCGGTGGAAAAGAGCTTAGCACTGTGCCTAACACATACAACACTCAACAAAGATCATGTCCTTCCTTCCTTCTGACCCCCAACAACTCCAATACAAATAAATGATATTTATGAGCCAAACTTCTGATTCTTGTTAGTTATAACGATGCTTCTTAGCTGAAGACAATTTTGTCCCTCAGGGGACATTTGGCAAAATCTGGAGACATGTTTGGTTATTGCATCTGTAGTGGGCAGGGCCAGGTATACTGCTGGCATCTGGCAATACCCCTGAGAGGCCAGGGACATTGCTGAACACTCTATGATGACCAGGACAGCCCTTCGTGGCACTAATTATCCAGTCCCAAATCCTAACACTGCTGAGGCTGAAAGACCTGAGGTCACAGGGAAGCGCCAGCTGTACTGTCTTCAAGATGAGCAGTGCACCAGTAAGGGCCTGGGCTCGGGAGCCAAGAGCAGAGCTCCGAAGAGTCTTAACTGTATGACACTGGCACAACTCTTCCCACACACTTTTCTTTTTTTAAGATATTTTTTATCTTAGGGAACATACACTCACCAGAGAGAGACAGAGATAGTGAGAAGGCAAGTGAGAAATCACCCTCCAAGGGATGGCCACGCCACAATCCCTTCTCCATTCTCCTCTCAGGATCTTGGGCACACACGTGCATGCACCTAGCGTGATTTTCAAGCCACCAGGTCCAGGACTCAAACTCTGGTCGGCCATGTAGGAAACCAGCAACGTAACCGCTTAGACATCTGCTGGCCCCATACTTCTCATCTTAAAGAGCATATTCTCAGGACCAGATGGTTAGCAGAGGGCCATTTGGTAAAGCAAATGGGCCACATGGGGGGGTCCTGAGTTCGCTTCCCACGAGGAGCATGGGCATGTGCCTGTGACCTGACCTGGCTGGGGTTAGGGGTGGATTGTGGCATCAAGATGCTGTTGGGATCCCCATCCCCACTATCTCTCTCCATTTTTTTTCTCTCATGGAAGAAATATGTAAATAAACCTTAAACATTTTTTAAGAGAGCATATTTTCACTTCTGTGACACAGGGATAAAGCTGCCGACTTCTAAGCCACCGTGAAAAATCAACAGTAACAGTGATCAGGTGCACAGCTGCCCACGATGACTTTCCTTCCCCCTGCCCTCCGTTCCTGTTTTAGTCACAGCACATCACGTGCCTCCAGAGTCACCCCCTTCACTGCAGCTTCCAGACACGGAGCAGAGCTGGAGTTACAAGAGCTCCACCTGCTTCAGCCTCAATTCTGCTGTCTGACTATGCCACAGTCTAGGAGTCAAAACTTCCTACAGGCCAGGTGTATACAGATTGGGATGTTAGGCAGACATAGGCTTTCATGTTGATATTCTTTTAAGTTTATTTAGTTCTTCTATGAGAAAGGGACAGACAGAGACAGAAAGACAGATACCCTCAACATGGTCCCTACACTGAAATCCAACCCCATCTCAGCCAGTCTGAATCACAGGCAAGCATGTATGTGCCTGGCATGCTCAGGGAGGTTCTGAAATGCAACCCAGGATCCTTCCCATGGGGTCCAGCTGGCCGGCCCTGCACCACCACCTGGATCCTATGCTGTTGTTATTCTTAAGAAATGTTATCATTTACTGAGTGCTTACTTTACACAGTGTTGCTACTTGCTTGTAAACAACCTCGTCAGGTAGGTAGGTAGGTAAGTGCATAGGAAAAAGCAGGTAGGAAGTAGTGGGTAGGTAAGGAGAGTGGGAGGAAGGCAAGCAGACAGGTAGGTAGGTAGGCAGGCAGGCAGGCAGGTAGGTCAGTAGGCGGAGAAGCCAGCCATCATCATTTCACAAACACAACGAGCTCAGAGAAGCTGAGTGTCAGAGCTGGGATTTGGATCAAGTCTGCTCACCATAAATGCACTGCTTTCTGAAGATGAACAGGAATTTTTCGAGCATCCTGGTTAGTCATAGCCCTCACCAGCCTCAGTCTCATCCAAGTTTTGATTCACTAAGAGCAAGGCTGTGAGGGGCCAGACAGTGGCACAGCAGTAAAGCATGATGCTCTGCAAAGCCCCCCGACATGGGAAGGTTCTGTGCTTGTATCCAGAGACCTCCCTAAAAACTCTGGGCACGGGTTTGCCCATGATATGGGGCTAGCTGAAGTCTGGGGATGGATCCAGGCATCAAAACCAAGTGGGGAGTTTACTATTTCTCCCTCTCTCTCTCACCCTTTCACGCTTATGGAAGAAATAAATAAACTTTTTATTTTTTTGAAAAGAGCCTGTGAAACTCAGAGGCACTCATGATGCTAAAGAAGCTTGAGTGCAGCCATATTTACTCACAGGGCCTTATGGGGCCCAGAATCAAACCTGTTCCCATCCAGAGAAGCTACACAACAAAAGGAAATTTGTCCATTCCCTCTCAGAGCTTTCCACATGACTCAACTTCTCCCCTAGTGAAAATGACCGGCAGCTTCTTGAAAAAAAAAATGAGGCTTCATGACAACACTCACTTTCAGAGAGTGACACCTGCTCCAGGAATTTCATCAGCATGTTTTGTTTCTCTAAATTCATTTCAGATTTAAAAATCTGGAAATTTCCTCACAATTTAGGGGGCATTCCAGCCCAGAACATTCCCCAAGGCCTGCTCTACACCAGGCTTTAGGTCTTGCAGACAGTAAGTCAGAATCCCTGCCCTGAGGGAGCTCCTGGGGAAAGTGAGGAGGTAAAGCAGTCACAGAGGACAACACAGGGACAAAAAGGTTGGGAGGCAAGACACATAGAAGGGGCAGCTGTCCTGGGAACTGGCTGAGCTCTGGACAACGGTAACCCTTATGCTAAATTCTAAAGGACTAGCGGGAGACAAAGCAGGGGAAGGATAGGCTGGAGGGGTGGTGACACCAGATCACTTCATCTGTCCCTCCAAGACATGACACTATTTTGGGCCCCAGGGTTCTATCATTCAACACATTAACCTCTCTTGGTTTTCAAGGCCATGTACAGAACAGGGAAAACATTATTACTTACCTCATAGAACAGCTGTGAGAACATGAGCTAATAAATACTGAAGAACTTTCTAAATATAAAACAAATTTTAAAATCTGAGTAACATACTTTTATCCTAATTTTGTTGCCAAAAATCAAACAATTCTCAATAGAAAACAGGTGTATTCAATTGTTAACTGGGGCAGTCACTGTCCAGGTACTTTGGAAGCTTCTGAAGCAAACTGGCCAGGCTCTGCTGCCTCTGAAACCACCACCATTTGTTGAAGACTCATGTGTGTGTGTGTGTGTGTGTGTGTGTGTGTGTAATGTCCAACAGAAACCCTTACCTGTCTGAATCCTGCAGAGACTTTACCAGATGGGTATAGATGTCCTGCTCTTTCCTTAAGACCTGAATCAGTTCTTCATAGTCTGATTGTTGCTTATCCTGAAAATAACAATGGGGATCTGACATGAAGGGAAGAACTTTAAGAGTATGCCCTCATAATATGCAAACAGACCCGGCTATTCTGGTTTTCAAAACCAAGTGAAGAGGAGACCCTGAGCCAGCCTCCAGCTCAGGCACAGTCAGAGAGCACCACCTTCAGGAGGAGTGAGGAATGACTATCCCAGAGCGCAGCTGAGCTGGCTTCCAACCCCACACAGCTGCTGCAGGGGACTTCTCATAGCTCTCCCGATTTGCCCATGGAGAAACCGTTGCCCTCAGAGCTCCCGGACAACACGTTCACAACACTAAAAAAACACCTCTCCACACCTGCTCTTGCTCTAAGTAAGGGAAATTTACAAACCAAAATGTGGCAAATACTGGAGACAAGGGAAAATGACCGGCAGCTTCTTGCACGTGAGCAGGACTACAAGAGGTCACGTGAGCAGCACAAGGAGGCATCGGATTAGAGTGATGATGCAGAGATCAGAGTTGGCCTCTGCCACTTACTGTGGTGTGGCGTTGGGGGTTATTTACAGATGAGGATATGGGTTGACAAATTAGCAATGACAAATATGAAATTTTTTTTAAAATGTTCAAACTATGCCACTTACCACTTCTGGGACTTTGGGAAGTTACTTATTAGGAGCCTTGGCATCCCCTCCTATAAATGGGGGGAACAATAACCACTACCTCATGGAGTTGTGGGACAGAAAAAAGATAATTTGCATACCATAAGGAACCAGATACCTGGACAATTGCTGTTTCCAGGATTAGGACAAGGAAAATAAGGGACAGTAAATGATGCGTCTTAGCACCTTGTGCCGGACAATAAGAAAGCACTTAAAGAGCAGAATAGTGGTTACCAGGGCCTGGAGAAGAAGGAAATGGGGAGGTGTTGATTAAAGGTTACAAAGTTTCAGTTCAAGATGAGCAGGTTCTGGAAATGTCATGTACAGTGACTGCAATGAACAATTCTGTGCTATTCAACATATACTCGAAATTTGCTAAGAGGGTAGATCTTGATTGTTCTGATCACACACACACACAAAAGGTAATACTGCAAGGTGATAGATATGTTAATTAGCTTGATTACAGTGCTCAGTTCACAATGTACACATAGATTGAAACACTAAGGTTTTCACCATAAATATATACAATTTTTTGTCAGTTATACCTCAACAAAGCTAAAAAAAAGAAAGAAAAAAAAGGAAAGGACTATTGATGGACTGTTGTCAAAATGACACAGAAGCCAGCTGAAAAGGCTCCTACCAGTCAAATCCGGGACAATTTAAGCATCAAAATAAATAATGATAGTAATGGATTGTCACCCACTGATAATAACAGATTATAACCCAGTGAATAAAACAGGAATGCATAAATATGTACTGATGGCAATGAAGACATGGTAAGAGTGGACTTCCCTTTATTATAAAATGACTACTTATTAGTTGTCATTTTACAGCAGGGATGATGTAGAAAGAGGATGGAATTTGAAAAACACCATTTGCCAACCATCACGGGAATAAACAGCTCAGCCAAGAAACACAAGAGGATGCTTTATAACACTAGAGGGTGATTGTTTGAAGATCGGGACATTTACACAAACTCAAAAGACCTCCCCTCAAAATACTCAGTACAAAGGAAAAAGAATAAGTAGACAATACATTGGACACACGCCACCTCCACAAAGCCATCAAGGTTAGCATGGCTAATAATGGGATGAATCAAAGTCGTGGACCATCAGACAGGACACGACGAGAACGCAGCATCGCTACTGTGATATCCCTGCCAAAGATGCACAGGCTGAATCTTATCACCAAGAAAACATCAGACAAATTCAAACCAAGGATATTCTACAACCTAACTAGCCTGGACACTTCCAAAGTATCAAGGCCATGAAAGTCAGGGAAAGACTGAGTAACTGTCTGGGCTGAAGACTAAAGATCAGGACTCTGACGTACAACACACATTCAGGATCCTGAACGGGGCCATTGTGCTACAAAGGGTGTTGGGACGACTGATAACACTAGTGAGTCCAAGGATCAGAAGGTAGAGATGGGTTTAAGCTAACGCCTGGTTGCGGTGGCTGGGCTGAGATGATGGAGAAGAATGCCCATGTTTATAGAAACTCCACTCTAGAGTATTCAGAGGTGACACCATTTCACATGGGCAACTTTCTCTCAGATGGCTCAGGAAAAATACAGTTCTTTATTCTTGCAACTTTTTTATAAATTTTAGATTATTTCAAAATGAGAAGAAATGTTAAAAAAAAGTTAAAATATACAGAATACCTTGCATGTTGCCTGCCACAAACTAGGTTTTTCTAAATGCTGAGGGGGTATTCAGTCATTGCAGAAATGCAGGTAGGAAACAGCTTCTAGTTCACACTGACTTACGTTTTCTCCTGAAGTTAAGATGCCACCTAGGACGGGGGTTCTTAACCTGATTTAAATGTAAGGGCCTAATAAATGTGAATGGGAAAGAAAAATTACAACTTTATTTTCTCTAACCTCCAACTGAAATTTGGGATTCCTTCACATACAAATTGAAGGAATACCACTTTTGCTATAAACCATAATGATATTAGTGATATTCCTGTGACTCTTATCAAAAGAAATACAATAATTTCATATATGCTGCCACTATATAAAATACTTATTGTTACTACTATGTCGGAACTACAGTAGTCACTAAACTCACCACTCGATTTCGTTATTTAACACATTCATTGAGCACTATTTCTATTGTATAATATACTGAGATAACTGAATCTCAAAAAATATTTGGTTCCCTTTATAACCTTATACATATAATTTATGCATTTTAATATTTTTCCAGGAAAGGAAAATGATTTCCTTGGCTTCAGTAGACTGACAAAAGGACGCAGAGGACAAAGTTAAGAACCCCTGACCTAGGGAAGTACTGCTATGCCTCCAGCTGGGACAAACGAGGTCAAGACACCACCTCCCAGTTAAGGGTTTTAAATGCTAAACCACCAGTTTGGTCATGACAACTTAACCCAGGCTGCTAGAAATGTCAGCCCCTTCTGTAAATCATGCCACATGTCACCAGCACAGGAAGCCTCCCAAATGCCTTCTGTACACAATGGCAGTATTATGTGAGATTCTCTCAGCTCCCACCTGCACACAAGCACGTGTGCAGCCTGCAGACCTCAGAGAAGAGAGTGGGCGAGACTTAAGGAGAACATCAAGACAAGGAGGCTACTGCGTCCTCGGTATGGCAGGCACTGTGCTCGGGGCAGTCCAGGTATTTTCCCATTTAATCCTCACAACAACCAAATGTGCTTGTGTGTTACCGCAGTCCCCATTTTAGAGATAAGGAAACTGTGGCAGAGAGGGCCGATCACACCCACAGGGTGGCGAGGCAGGATGTGGGCTCTGAGACCTGTGGCCTTCAGTCCACCCATCACTGCCGCAAATGAATACGAAGCATTGGTTTTGACAAGGGTAACATTGTCACTGTCAGCCAAAGAAGATAAGAAAAGCAAGTTCGCCAGTGGCATGGTGGTTAAGGCAGTGGCTACCACATGGCAGACAGTGTGGTTCGAGTCCCAGGCCCAGCGGGTAAGTATGCGTGCATACCCAAAATCCTGAGAGGAGAACGGAGAAGGGACTGCAGTATGGCTATGCCCCTGGGAGCGGTTCTCTCTCTCTCTCTCTCTCTCTCTCTCTGTGTGTGTGTGTCTGTGTGTGTCTCCAGCAAACATGCATGCCTTATAGCAAAAATTAAAAAGAAAGAAGAAAAAATAAGAGCCAGTGACAAGATAAGCAATCCCGCTGCACCTGGAGCACCTAAGATGACAGCTGGAGTGGGTTGAGAGACTGTGACCTTGAGTAAGTTACTCACCCTCACTGTACTTCAAGATCTTCACCTATAAATAGAGGTAATAGCTCTACTTATCTCATAGGGTTTTTAAGGAGATAAATTAATTAACCTATACCAAGTTCTCAGAATGATGCCTGGCATGGGTAACACTCAATAAATGTTAGCAGTAACATCATTTCTGTACTCCAAGTGCTAGGCTTGTTACATGTACCGTGCTTAGTTACGTGACTTCAAAGCCAACCAAGAAGGGCTGGGAAAGAAGACCAATAAACATGGAGGATGGCGTAGACCCAGGAACGTATGTATGTGAGACATACGTGCCCAGTAAAGGAATTCCAGGCCCCTGGGACCCTATGCCTTACCTGGATCTCTATAGGCTGAACTCTTTTTTCTTTTTTTATTTTGGAGAGGTTTTCGCTATAGGGCGCGTGCGCTCGCCAGGCAGACAGAGAGAGACATAGAGACAGAAAGCGAGAAATCACCCCCCAGGGGGGATGGTCACGCTGCAATCCCTTCTCCTCCATTCTCCTCTCAGGATCTTGGGCACGCACGCACACGCGCCCGGCGTGAGATTTAAGCCACCGGGTCCGAGACGCGAACCGCGGTCGACTACGTGGGAGTCCAGAGACATAGCCATTACGCTAACTGCTGGTTCCCTATAGGCTGAACTCTTAAGCCCTAGTGTCCAGCCCACTGCCTCATCAGGCCGGCCCAGCTTGCTCCCCTCTCCCCTTCTTTCTAGCCGCTATTCCAAAACTTTACCAGGCTTTTCAGGCCACCACTCTCCCCGGCTCCTGCCCTCATCCTTTCCTCCTTTCCTTCCACTTTAGCGGGACTGGGAAATCACCTTCAATTGAGTCCAAGGAATCTCTCCCTTCTCTTTAGAACCAAGTGCCGTCATTCACCACTGTCACACCTAGGGCTCCTAACAGGACCTGCTCAGGCCAAGTCTCTCAAGGAGACCTTCCTAGACCGAGAAAGATCCCTGCCTCCAGCCCCCAGGGCTCCCAGGGTCGCCTCCAGCCCACGGCTAGAGTACCAGCCACCTATGTCCAAGTCTGAGGGCCCCTTCCAAGCGCAGAGTCCCGAGTCAGGCACAGTGTCTGGCACAAATCAATTGCTGCCACAAGCACTCGCTGAACTGATGATTAAATAGGTAAGAGAGGAACGGAGGGAATGAAATGAATCTTAAGAGCAGAGATTCCTGTGGATATTTTGCATAATGGAAGTCAGAGTGAGTCAACGTCTTCCTAGAAGCAAATTGCTCACCCATGTTAAATAAATGAACTCTTCGGAGCCATTTGGGTCCCATTTCATCAATCACCTATTCCCCTGCGTTGAATCATGCCCCATTAGAATGAAGTCATTTGGCTCCCTCAGCAGAGCTGACAGACCAGGAGATCGTCCCACTGTAGAGGCAGAGCGCCAGGCTGCCCAGAGAGGAGCAATGAGAAGCACCTGCTCGGTGGGAGACACTAACCTCCATCCTCCACTCAGCCCCTCCAAACAAGAAGCAACCCAGACAGGAGGCTCCCATCGCAGAGCAGCGGGCACGGCCACACATCTCCCACGTGTCCGACTCTGCAGCGTGTCCTCCACAGCCTTGCAATGACCACCCAGTTCACCACCATTCCCTTCTCACTCTAGGGCTGCTCCTAAAATGTAGAGTTGGGTCCAGAAAAAACTTCTCGCCTTCGGGAGCCAAGCCCTGCACTAACCCAGGACAGCTCTCTCTCAGGGATTCAGGATTTAAACCGAGATGCCAGACCCTAAGTCATGTCAGAGACAAAACCCTAGAGTCTAAACTCCTGCCAGCGAGGTCCAAGGGGCTGCCCCAGCTTTCCCCTCCCTGGAGTGAGGCGGCTCGACTCGTGCTTGACATCAGTGAGAGGCTCCTCTAAGTCCTTTCATTGCTGTCTTGCTCAAACTATTCAATGTTGGATTCTGTAACTTGCAACCAAAAGAACCTCAACTAATACACATATTTTATCTCAGAAGAAAAGTATGCAATTCTCTACAGATTAGCAAAGTTGAGTTTCAGAGCAATCAAGTGACCTGCCTGAGGTCACAGAGCTAGTAAACAGCAAGACTGGCATTCTGACACCAGAGCTGGGGCACATCCAGTCTACCATGGTTTGCTTAATGACCTTCATGAAGGAAAGACATGTAACATGCAGACCATGACCTGAAGAGGCAGCAGATGCGCAAAGAAAAAGCCTAATGGATCACTTCCTGGTAATCAAAGCGACTGAGTGGCCTGGGAGACAGGTGGTGTCTATTTTGGGAGCTGTGTCACATCCCTGCAACAAAGACATTTATTTTAATACTGAGCAAATTCAACAGCCATGTCCCAACCATGCCAATAACCAAGCTATAAATCTGCAGCAAGTTAAATACAGGGTCTTTTACTCTCTATTCTTTAATTCCCTGATCAACAGCATTAGTTCTCAGGATCACACAATGATTAGCAGGAAGACAGACTGCCCAGAGTCTATGGAGACATCATCAGAGCCTCCAGTTCTTGGTAGAAATGGGCAGAGAATAAATCCTAAATCAACACAAAATGGCCAAGGGCATAACAGAAGAAATCCACGTTTTCTACCAAGAAAGAACTACGATCTGAAACGCATACCTTACTGGGGAGGGAGCAGAGGGAGGAAAACTGTAAGACTGCAACAGTTGAGATTTCTGCAACTGACACCTAGAAATGTACAATTCCTAAGTGATAATTTATAATTCTTTATCCACAATTTGCAGTTAGTCTTGCAGAACAGAACTAAAACGTCTGCTAAAATACTTAGGTATTCTGTACAAAGATTTAAATAATCACCAGGATCTGAATATTACCAGAATATCTATGCAATGACTTCATATTTGCTGCTGGATAAAGTACAGACATCAACCAGCACAAAAATAAATAAGTAAATAAAATGGTGCAAATGATAAAACTAGTGAAATTAATAATGGTCAACCTGGGGCCAGCCCATAGCCTGGTGGTTACGGGAGCTGGATCTCACATGGTTCAAGTCCCAGACCCTGAGCACGTGTGTATGTGTGCCCAAAATCCCCAAAGGAGGAGAAAATGAGGAAAAAGGATTGCGGCTTGATCATGCCCCATTGGATATTTTCTCCTCTCCCTCTCTCTCCGGCAAGTACACATGCTCTCTGGCAAGTTAAAAAAAAAAAATAGTCAACCAATTTATAAACATTTTGTTCAACATTTAAATACTTCTTATATGACTAAAATATGATTTACTATAGGCAAAGTTTAACTGACCAAATGTATACAAAGTAGTGAAGACATGTCCATCTAAAAACTCTGATGGGCTGATATGTAGTTTCAAGACAGACTGTGCCATTTTACAGGTTCATGTGCATCTTTACACCCCAACTAAATCTGGCCAAAATCAAGTAACTAAATGCAGGTTAGAATCACAAAATATTAGCCCTCTGACAGTTGGTTATTGCACTTGCACAAGGTTACCTGAGTGAGACGGCTTACCCAAGAGAGAAATCCAGGCCTCTAGGCTCCTGGCCCAGCCCAAGGCTCCACTAGTCCATGCTGACACTCTTGAGAGAAACAGTGATATGAAAATAGCAAATGGTGGAATGAAGAAAGAGCTCCAACTATCTGGCCAATGATGCCCATAGGACCATGGCTGATACCAAGCTGACATACAGCTCAATGACATACAGCACTAGTCGCTGAAATACTAAAATGCTTCTATACGAGCTGGAAAATAGACCCTGTTCCATTCATGCCAACCTCACCAGTGAACACAAAGGGGCCTTCCATGAGTCAGTAACTACAGGCTTGGTGCCTGGCCCAGAGCAGGCCTCCAGTCCCCCCCCCTCCCCCCCACTGGCCCTGGCTGTCCTGAGGGCTGATGCCCCTGCTGCACCAGTTGTTAATTATTTTGAGAATCACCCTTCATGAAACCACAAGTCACGATCAGAGCCATTCATCAGAGAACTAATTTGTGTAAGAGTTCTCTGTCTTCTGAATGTATGAACTTAATTAAAGCCAGGTTTTAAAAAAAAAACAAGACTTGGCCTACAATTAACTCCCTTCCTTTCCCACATCTGGCTGCCTAACTGCATTATTCATTCACTCACTCAACAAGCAGTTAGAGCCAGGCACTGGGCTGGGTGCTGGGATCAGAGATGAGCACAGGTTCCCTACCCAAGAAGTGCTTGCTCAAGGGGCTGCGCGAGGGCTCAGGTGAGGACCCCCTAACGCCAACACAAGGAGGAATGCGACAATGGAGGGGTGGGCAGGGTGACGTGGGCCACGGGAAGAGGGGATGGTATACTAAGCAGGGTCAGGGAATGCTCCTCAGAAAGGGCACCCTAGAGTGGCACCGGCAGAGAGGCTCATGAGCAAGCAAGTCAACAGGAAGAAAAAGTCATTCCAGGCAGATCTAACAGCACACACGAAGGCACAAAGAGGTACAACATGGTGCTTCTATGAATCTGCACGTCGCCAACTGTCGCTGGAGAAGAAAGAAAAGGAAACTGGTCGGATGAGGAAGGGACTGACGTGCCATTTTCCATGTGCATTGGAACAGGAAAATTTACTTAACACTTGGGATCATATTGATACTTTCTGGGAGTACATTGATATTTTCTTGAGAGGTGAGCCCTGATAAAACAAATATGAGACTCATCTTTTAATAAGCTGTAATTTCTCAGTTTTGTGTGTAGTGAAATACTAATGCTCAGTGGAATAATATCAATCTGTAAGGTGGGTAAACGAAGAACTCCTCCTCCTACCTGCTGTAGACTCAATTATCAGCAAGAAGGCATTTAAGGAAACCTTGATCAAAGGAGTTATCAAATACGTTTCAAAAAAGAATATGAATACATTCACATGTGAATGTCCAATTTCTGGCAAGCCTACCTCAGAGAAGATGATTTTGCTGCCTGGTGACTGTTGAGAAGAACACTTTTCTGTTATTAAGCCTTCGCTCCTGAACTCGAGATCCTGCGCAGTCATTAAACAACGGTTCTGCTGAATTGCTTCCAAATCTTTTTCATTGAATTTCTAAGGAAACAAAATAAATTATAAGAAAGTTTTCATCAAGAAAAGAAAAAATATTAAGAGACTGTTCCAAATTCTTTAAAGGAAAATCTTTTCTTTTTTTCACAAATAATAATTTCCATCATCTCAAAATACCAGGCAATAACAAAACTGGAATGCAGCTCCATTTCTATGTTATTACAAGTTGGAGAATGGCAGCTCACCAGCAAGGTCGTGCTAAGCATGGTGGCTGTCGTTACAAACCCTCCTGAGACAACACTGTTGTGACTGACTGCTTTCCGTGGGGGTGAGGACAAAACCCAGGTTCTGACCCAAGGGTCTGCTTCCTATCCTACAGTCTTACTGGGATGATTAGAGGTTTACATATCAAAACCTGATGAAGTCTTGGTCTCTCTGGAAATGTTTTTTGACACAACTGGAAACATCCATGAGGAACTATATCTTCTAGGAAGAAAAAGCCAACACTGCAAACACTGCTGTGGAGCCTGGCCACTTACAGAAGGCTCCTTCATGATCGTCCATAAAACGCTTCTCCTCATGGATGCTTTTGTAAGATCTGACGTCCAATAACACATGAGGACTAGAAGCCACTTCTCTTGTCTTCTGGCCAAATTCAAGCCCAGAATCCAATCCTAGCCATTTAAAACTGCTAATTCCTGAAGGAGGACTCTGATCACTCTCTGTTGGAATTTAAGGGCAGGAACGACATCTTATTCCTGAGCAACTAGCAGAATTAATTTAACAGGTCAAACTTGGATAAGAAATTACGTGAATAAGAAGCAGAAACAACTCAATAAAACCAGTTGAACCATAATAAGAAAAAGTAGAAATCAAATAGTTGACATGACTTTCTAGAACTGCTGTGATACAGCTGTGCTTGAATTACTTTTCACTATCAGTTTTTAAAGTTGAATTATACATGTAGACAGCTTAACAGTCAAATAGTACTATAAGGCTTAAATGGAAAAGACTAGTTCCCTATCTATCATCTCTAAGTCCCGCTCCCAGAAAAAAGAACCTCTAACTCTTTAGCTGTTTCTCCTGATACTTATTTCCACATCTCTACACTACATTCTTCTTATAGTTGTTGTTAAAGGGTGTGTGTACTTGCCAGAGAAAGAGAGGGAGAGACACCAAGAGAGGGAGAAAAGAAACACCCTGTCCCCATGGGGAGTGGCCATCCCGAATCCTTTCTCCTCCATTTCTCCTCACTTTCAGGATTTGGGGCATGCACACGCATGCACCCAGCATGTTTCCACGTAGTTGGCCATGTGGGTTCTGGCTGATGCATCCACCAGGCCATGGAATCAGCCTTGTAAGACATTCTTACTCTCGCATTTTTTTTCCTTAAATTTAGGTTTTATCTATCGGCTCCTATCATACAAGCATAAGGGTTTAGTCCTTGCCCCTCAACACTTTTCCTAGTAATTACGTCCAGAGTTTGGTTACATTAAAATGCTGTTTCGTCTTAGAGCCGTGCTATTGCTCAGGGCTCAGTCACACGATGTCCCATGATTATAGTGCCCTTCATGTTCAGGTCTTCACTTTTCTTGGAATTATGGACTGCTTTAATCTATTTGTTTACTTCATAAAATTACGTATTTAATATTAATTTACCTCCCAATGCTCTAAAAGAACTTTAAAAGTCCTCTTAATGGAGTCAAAGACATCAGGTAATTGATCAGTTCCATTCGGTTTCTTGGAGAAATCCCAGTTGAGATCCTCTCCTCTCTCAATGGCTCAAATCTGAGCCCTGGACATGGCAGCTCAGCATCACCTGGGACTTCCCTCCACCGCATCCCCAGTGAATGCCCTACTTCTGCATCCCATGTCTCTCTCTTTCTTGGTTATTCCCTTATTTATATGGTATCTTCCTCCCAGAGCTTCCGGTGAAGAGTACAAAGGAGAGAGATGATTTTAGGCACCAAATGTCTGAAAATGTCTTTATTCTTCCCCCACACTTACTGACAGCCTGGCTGAGTACAGAATACTGGATCAAAAATCACTTTTCCTCAAATCTCCTGCCTTCCGGTTTTCAGTGTGGCTACTGAGAATTCTGATGTCATTCTGGGTCTGGGTCCTTTGTATGTGACCTATATTTTCCTCTCTCTGGAAGCCTTTCAAGTCCTCTCTTTATCTCTGTGTTCTGAAATTTCACAATGACATGCCTCGGGGTGTGGGTCTTTTTTCATTCATTGTGCTAGAAACAGAGAAGATCCTTTCAATGTAGAAATAGCTGTCCTTCCATTCTAGGAAATTTTCTCTTTTAACTTTAAAATGTTTCTTCCCTCTGCTTTGCCTATTCTGTCTTGCTGGAACTCCTGTTAGTCATATTTTGGACCTGTTGAACCAAGTCTCTAATTTGCTTATCTTCTTCTCACAATTTTCTCACCTTTATGTTTGTTTAATCTTCTTAAAAACTTACGTGATTTTATCTTCCAGCTTTACTAGCTCTTCCATTAAACTTTTTATATCTGCAAATCATACCTTCCATTTCCCATAGGTCATTTTTCTTTTCCAAATTTTTTTAATCAAATCCTGATTTTATTTATCTAAAGATGCTATAGTATTGAACTTTCTGGATTTTAAAAAGCTGTCCAGTTTTCTTCACCTCCTTGCATTGTTTCCTTTGTTCTTTCTGTTCTAGCCTTACACCTTCCTCTTAAATACACTTCTCCTATTTGATGAACTCGGTCATCTACCTACTTTTAAGGGTTAAAAGTGCTCAGAAGTCAGACGATGGCACGGGGTGCCATGTGAAGCTCTGCAAGGCTGACCCATGTGGGAAGGTTCCCAGCTCTTGTGAGAAGACCTCCCTGCACACACCAAACAGGTGTGCCCAAGATCTGGGTTTGGCTGAGACTGGGGGTTGATGGTGACATCACCACCCTGTTGGAGGGGTCTGTCTGACTCCCTTTTTCTCATGGAAGAAATAAACCTCTTTTTAAAAGTGCTCAGATGTGGAAAGAGCACATGGCGTAATAGTGACATCGCTGGACTCCCACATGGCTGACCACGGGCAGCTTGAATTCACATACATATGCGTGCATGCTCAAGATCCCAAGAGGAGAATGTAGAAGGAGCTGCGGCACAGCCATGGGGGGTGAGGTGGGGAGATTTCTCACTTTCTGTCTCTCTAGCGAGTGCACATGCCCTGTAGAAAAATCTCTCTTAAAAAAAAATAATAAATTTAAAAACTGTTTTAAAGTGTTCATAAATTGTTTGAGTGTAGAAAGGATATCTTGCAGGCAGCTGCAATGTGAGATGCTCAGGTGAGGACCTGGCTGTTTTGCCAGAAGACCCCCAACAGTAAACATATTTCAGTCTTTCTCTCTTTGGGGTTCTCAAAGGAACCTCACTGCTGTGCATGCACACGTCCACTCCCACCCTATTTTCACCCAAACAATTCACTTCTGCATTCAGTGTCACCTGTGACCCCCAGGCCAGAGCTTCTCGTTGAAGGTCTCCAGAAAACTGCTGCTGAGGATAAGAAAGTCACCTATAACTGCTTCAAACACCAGCCAAGTCTCTTGCTTTCAAAGGTAGCAGGAACATCCAAAGTCTGCTGAGCCTTCTGGTTTCTGTACCATAAACCAGCAATGTTCCTGTTGGCTTTTCACCCCAAAAGCACGGAGCAGAGTGGCGAATGCTGGGGCCAATGTAGGTACCACTTGCCCATCCACTTATCATCCAAATTTCATTGGCAATTCACACCTGCTGTCGTACACACTCCCATTCTTCTAGCTATTCCTTGTGGGTTTATACTAGCATATTCATTCACTGAGGTTTTCATAGGAGGTGGAGTTAAACACCTATGTTCAATCCATCTCGGTTACGTGTAAGTCTGAACTGAATTTCAGAAACTGAGGGGCCGGCAGGTGCTGTGGTGGTTGAGATGCTGAACTCCTACATGGCCGACCATGGTTCAAGTCCCAAACCTGGCAGCTCACTTTCTCACTCTGCCTTTCTGTCTCTCTGTGCTCAAAATTGAAGAATAATGATAATAAATTAAAATAAATAAAAACATTTTTTTTAATTGACTACAAGATCAAACCAGAAGGGTATTCCAAAACTAAAAGGAACAGTTAGAGGAAAAGTACAGAGAAGTCAAAGCACACGGCACAATAAGGAACGGCAAGTGCTCACAGTAGAAAGACCCGACTGAAGTGGTCTGGGCCCTAGATGGAAAGGGTCAGGGCCTGAATGCAGGCTCGGTTGTCACCAGTCATGTGACACAGGATAACTTCTTCCCTGCTCTGAGCTTCTGTTTCTCCAAACTTAGCTCCCTGGTAGCTGAGACCCAAATACCATAGAGAAATCTCTAAAGTGCTCTGAAATACAGCAATGAACACTATAACCATAAATATTTCTGTAAAGGAATATTTTTTAAATGCTAAATCAAAAAGATTTAAATACAAAATAAAAGAAGTTACAATACCTGAAGCAATAAGTCTTTTTGATTGACACTTTCTGTTAAACGTTTGATCACTTGCTCTTGACTGTGTAATTTTTTATTGCTTTCGCTCAAAAGAGTCTTATAACGATTCTCCATTGTCTTCTTTCTTTCATTCACTTCATTGCGTAATTTTTCAACTTCATTTTTGAGGTCCTACCAAAGGAAAAAGAAAAATCTGAAATTTACTTGACAAAAATTTCAAAGTGACAACTGCCAGATTACTGCTGTAAAAGAAGCGGCTGGGCCGGCCTGTACCCTGGTGGTTAAGGGAAGCCAAGGTGGCCTGGCCGTTCCCATGGGGGGTGCTTTCTCACTTTCCCCCTCTCTCTCTTCCCCAGCAAGTATACACACCCTCTAGCAAATTGGGGGAGGGGGAGTAGGAATTATGAGTAATTTTCAATTGGTTTTTATTTTTCTGAGTTTTCAAAATCTCTAAAAAATCCTGTACTATTTTCATAATCAGAAAAAAAAAAAAACTGTCTTACCACTATTTATAAAGAATTTATAACAACATGGAAAATGCTCGTGTTCTAATGTTAAGGAAAGAAATAGTATTCAGTATGACTGTGACTACCTTAAAATATGTTCTATTTGTAATTCATAATAGCAAGAGGCTGTAAACAATCCAAATATTCACCAGCAGAGGAATAAACTGAGGTGTATTTTCACACAGGAGCACTCCTAAGCTATAAAGGAAAAGAAATGAGGACTTCCTCTCTGTAAATATACCACCCTACAGTAATCTTCAGAATATATTGTTAAGGGTGAGAGGGGAGCAAGAAAAACAAGTATGAATAGTATACATTATGTTATTTAACCATAAAACAAATTAAATGGTTACTATGAGGTGTAAGTGGAAACAAGGTGAAAGAAATAGAGAGGCAGACTAGAGTTCATTTCACAGATGTGATGTTGGAACCACTTAAATATCTTAAAAATAAAATAAAATTCCACTAAAACTGAAAGCAGAGCAAACTAATGAACAAATTTAACTTTATATGGGATTGACTGGTTAATCAAAAAGAGAGAAATTCATTTCAATAACTTTAAAGCAGTTATTTGTACATCCCTAAAGGGTATTTCTCTAAGGACAAAAGGATCTACCAAAAAAAAAAAAAAAAAAAAACCTAATAAACCTTAGATTGTTTTTAGTAATCATGTAGTAAATAATAGCACTGAGATATCATTCTGAAGTTGTGTGTGTGTATATATGTATTAAATTATTAATATGAAAATCAACTTTACATACAAAAAAAGCAATACAAGCACAAAAGAAGTTATAACCTGTGATTCTAAATTTAAATTTGAAATATCAGTAAGAATTTATATTTTCTTTTTTTTTTTTTGAGAGAGAGAGATTTTTTTGCTATAGGGTCTATGCACTCACTGGAGAGACAGACAGAAAGAGAGAAATTATGCCTCCCTCCCCCAGAGGGGATGGCCATGCCACAATCCCTTCTCTTCCATTCTCCTCTCGGGATCTTGGACACACACAAACATGTGCCCAGCTTGAGTTTCAAGCCTCCAGGTCCAGAACTCAAACTGTGGTAGGCCATGTGGGAGTCCAGCTATGTAACCATTATGCTATCTGCTGGTCCCAGAACTTGTAATTTCTGCTATTTCTTTTCTTCCACTGAAAAAGGTTAGAATCAGAGCCCTCCATGGTATCCAGACTACAGTCTCTGAATACAATTTTTTTTCCTAAAATAACATGGTTCTTTAAAGCGTTGGTTCTCCCATCCAGTACTAACCAGCTTCTGAAATTGGACTGTGTTCAGAGTAGTATGACCACAGACTGAACCAGCAGCTCTCAAAGTGTAGTTCTTGAACAGAATAGTCAGCAACACTTGATTACAAATATGCAAATGTGTGGCCCCCTCCCAAACCTACTAACTCTGAAGGTAGGTAGTGCCCATCAAGGTGTGATTTAACAAGTCTTCCAGGTGATTCTGAAACACACTATGGTTTGCCTCCGGGAAAGGGATGATTGCAGACATGGGGCAAGAAGCTATCAGGCTGCAGTGTTTACAAGGATGGAATTCAAGAACCAAGTAGGAAAAGGTTTCCACTGACCAAAGATAAGACAATTTGAATTTTAATAAATATACTAACAATAACTTAAATACATTTTTAAAGTTAGAAATGTATAAATTCATAATACTTTTAAAAGATACCTTCAGTCACAATGACAGACTGAATCACAGACCCCCAACAGATGTTCGCATCTAATTCCCAACTGTCAAAAGGAAAGAAGATTACAGAGGGAATTAGGATACTAATCAGCTGACTTTAAAACAGAAAGATTATCCTAGATTATCCAGATGGATCCAATATAATAGCAAGGATCCTGAAAAGTGGAAGAGGTGTGCCTAACCATGGTGGCACAGTTGTAGTACAACATTCTGCAATGCTGGAAGCCATATAGAAGATCAGGGTTTGGTTCCTGAGTCAACCTGTACATGCCAGGCACATGCCTGCCAACTGCTTGTGATCTTGGCTGGCTGAAAGGCAGTAGTGGGGGGAGGGAAAAATCAAGACATTCTTGGCTGGCTGAAAGGCAGTAGTGGGGGGAATGAAAAATCAAGACCCTGAGGAGGGTGTCTGTTGGTCTTTCTTTTCTCTCAATAAATAAATGAAGTTTAAGTTTTTTTTTTTTTTGAGAGGTTTTAGCTATAGGGCACATGCGCTTGCCAGAAAGACAGAGAGAGACAGAGAGACAGGAAGGGAGAAATCACCCCCCAGGGGGGATGGCCACAACGCAATCCCTTCTCCTCCATTCTCCTCTTGGGATCTTGGGCACGCACGCACATGCGCCCGGCATGAGTTTAAGCCACCAGGTCTGGGACTCAAACCACGGTCAACTACATAGGAGCCCAGCGACATAGCCATTATGCTAACTGCTGGTCCCAAGTTTAAGAATTTTTTAAAAAGTGGAAAAGGGGAGCAAGAAGAACACTTCACCTATCACTGCCAGCTTTGAAGATCAAAAGGGGCTACAGGCCTAACAATAAGACAGCCTCTACACGAAGTCAAAGGAAAGAAGTGGTTTCTCCCCTAGAGCCTTCAGAAGGAATGCAGCCCTGCCCACACCTTGGTTTCAGCAGAGACCATTTCAGACTTCCGGAACCGTAAGACTCTACATGTGTATAGTTAAGCCAGCAAGTTGTGGTAATTCACTGCAGTGGCAATAGGAAGTGGATTCCAGGGAACCTTTACTGTGTCTTGTCAGTATTAACTGCACCTCGAGATAACTAAATAGGTGATTAAGAAAAATAACACATTTCTTTTTATAGACACGTTCTGGCTATAAATGAAAGAACAATGAAGCGAGATCATTACCATTTTGTAATAAATCAATGGCTGATAACATCACAAAAACAGAAGCTAGTAAATATTTGGAAGTACAAATGACCACCTATGATGTAATCTTGCCCAAAAGTAAACCTGAATTTGACCACACACCTTACCTAACTACCAATTTACTAGAAATAGAGTCAGAAAAAAAAACAAATTTAATGATATTACAGAGACAATCGGCAAAATCACAATTGGGATGTATCTGTAATTATACACACACACAAGAGGACAGACACAGATATACAGATATCTGTACGCACATGTCAGGACACACACATACATTTCTTAGCTCTGTCCACTGACAAAGCCTGTAGCAATGAGGACACCAATCATCCAAACTTGCTTTCTAAATATCATTCTCCAATCAAAGAAGCCAGGGTTCTTTGGAGCCTGGACTACCTGGTTTATTCCAGCGCTGGGAAAGGGAAAACACAATTAGAGCCAAAGACAGCTTGTGACATGAGAAAGTACAGAAGTGCTCAAATCACGATGGGGAATCAATCAGAAGTAGTCCCCAATGACCAAATCTGACATAATTTGAGCAATAAAATAAATGATAGTAATGGCATACAACTTAAAGAATAAAATAAATATCCATGAGTCCATTCTGACATAAGCATAAAACTAAAATAATATATAAATGCAGGAGAAGACAGGATAGCACTTCCTCACAACAGACTTACAACTAAGTGTGGTGGGAATCTGCAAATGGATAGTGACTACAAAGCAAACACTACAGCAATAACTGTTGCAGATAAGAACTATCCAGGGGGGCGAGCCCCATACATAGCCCGGTGGTTAAAGGAGATGGATACCACATTGCTGACCAGGTTCGAATCCTGATTCCAGCAGCTTGAGAAACAAAATGTGCCTGGTGTGAAAGGGCACATCTACATGTGTGCCCAAAATCCCTACAAATGGAGAAATGAAGAAGAGATTGCAACATAACCACATTCCATTAGAGGTTGCTTTCTCCATCTCTCTGCCTCTCTCTGGCAAGCAAACACACAGTCTAGCAATTAAAAAATGTAATAAAAGAGAGGGAGAAGTGGCATGGCAGTTAAGGTGCTGGACTCCCACATGGCCAACTACAGTTCAAGTCCTGGACCTAGCAGCTTGAAAATCATGCTCAGTTTGCTAAAAATCCCAGGAGGAGACTGGAAGAGAAGGAATTGCAGCATGGCCATCTTCCCTGGGGGTGATTTCTCACTTTCCCTGTCTCTCTCCAGCAAGCACAAGAGCACTATGGCAAAAAATTTGGGAGGAAAAAATGAAGAGGGGCCAACAGATGACATAGTGGTTATGTTGCTGGACTCCCACATGGTCGACCATGGTTTGAGTCTCAGACACAGTGGCTTCAACATCACACTAGGCACATGTGCATGCATGCCCAAGATTCCAGGAAGAGAATTGAGGAGAAGGGACTGTGGCGTGGCCAAACCCCCTGGGTTTTGTTTTGTTTTGTTTTGTTTTTTTCCCATGCAAAAATACACCATGACTTTTCCAACAACCCAATATATACATACAAAATTGTGACAATAAATGAAACCGTTTCCAAACCGTACATGCTTCTTTCAAGCTTTGCCCATTGTAGCCATAATTTTTATCCAATTTGAACTTCAGTTTGGATTTTTTCCCATTTTACTTTATTTATTCTATTATACCATGACCTACAAGGAGCATGAGGCAATTAAATGATGATGACATACAACAATATAAAAAAACTTTAAAGGGTACAAAGTCAAGAAAAGTTATTGTTCAAGTACAGAGATGAGAAAGGTCTACAGAGCTGCTAT